GGGGGAAGGACGGGATAGGAAAAGGGGGGGACGGGGAGAGAGGGAGGAAAGGAAGTGGAATGGGTAGTGGGGGCCAAGGGGATAGTAACCACGAGCTGGGAAACAAGAGGTGGTGACATAACTGGAAGAATGAGGGCGGAGGTGATGACGTAACTTAGAGAGGCGGAGTCTGGAGCAAGCGGGTGTAACAAAGGAGAGTCAAAGACTTGCGGCGAAATAAAAGGACGGACAGAGGCGACGATGCTACAAGTGCGAGGTAGAGGAGCCTAATGTCGCTACCTGAAGGGCGGGGGAAAGAAGCCAAAGACGTTGCAGAAGGACAGGAATAGAGAACTCAACTGAGAGAGTCGCGAAGTGGAAGGGCCAGAGAAGTTTCTCGAGGGGCGGCAGCCGGAGGCCGCTGTCACAATTCCCTCCTGGGCCTCCGGCTGGACCTTACCCACTTCTTCTTATATCGATATCTCCGCGGGACCGTCGCGAAGTCCGCACGCTTCAGCAGGTCCCGAACTCCTCTCACTACTAGCGCAGCCATACCGGCTTGCGCCTCCGGGTAATTCCGACCGGAACAACAACGCGAGACCTGCGGGTTCCCGAGAGGTGGTGCGCGCCACGCCGGACGAAAAGGGGAGGGATTTGCGGCTGACTCCTCTCTGGGCTCCGCCCATCTTTACATCTCTGCTGCAAACCCCGCCCCTTTAGAGATCTTTTGAAGGTGCTGGAAAAGAGCAACCATTCGCACAGAACGGTGGATTCGTGTGGATGCTTGGAGTTTTGGGGGAGAATCCGTAAAAGTCCCTAACCCAGTTGAAGGAATCAGGGAGAACTGGAAGCTGGCAGTTGAGTAGTGAAAGAGTTAGCTAGGCAAAAAGGGGCGGGAAAGGCCTCCAATGCAGAAGTTGGATCCTGAGGTAGAGAAAAACGAGCCTAGATGGATAAGCAGAGACAGATTTATAGTGAAGCTAATGAAAGCTTAAGTTTCTGGACCTGTCATTTCTACTGCCCGCCTCAAGGCCCTGTACCTAATGTATTATTTTTCTTAAAGAGGACCTCCCGAATTGTGTGAGTTTTGGGCTCCACAAAACTCGACTCCACCATAGGGAGCTAGAAGGAGAGATATGATCAGATACATGTTTTTAAAGGTGATCTGACAACCTATTGTAGTTAAGATGAGAGATGATTGTCTGGATTAGTGTGGTGGCAGTGAATATGGAAAGAAAAGGGTGGATCCCACTTAGAATTAAGAGAAATTACAGGACTCATTGAATGATTGGCCCGTTCTAAAATAGTACATACTATACCACCTGTTAATAGCTGTCCTCTTGCTCTGCTTTCTTATAACATTACCACCTGACATATTTATTTTCTTATAGCCTGCTAAGTTATAATTTTCAAAAGGTGAAAACATAACTCACATAAATATAAAATGAACCGCATGCCAAAGATTTTTCAGCATAATAAACTGCTCATCCATTATTAAATGAGGGAATCAATAAGATGGTAGGACGTGTTCAAATAAGAATGAGTTTCGAAAAAATAATCTGAGTTTCAGAGATTTAGTTTATCAGCTAAAGGAATACTGAAATGAATTGGCTAATAGTTGCAAAATCAATATCCCATTAACAAACTATAATGTTTAGAATTACCTTTTACCAGATGGAAATCAACTCCATCTCTACTGGACAAAATTCATGCCTATTGCTATGGACAAGAATCATTTGCATTACTCTCAGATAGGAATTATTTGCATTGCCATCAATTTCCTACAAGTTAGCCATCAATTTCCTACAAGGTATCCTAGTCAATAGAAAGTCAATCAAAGGTATACCCCAACACTACAATGAAAAATCACCCAGTAATCCTCTTCTACCCATTTATACGTTCTGGACAATTTTTCTGGACATGTCTTCCCTCACTAGAATGTAAAATTTAAAAGAGCAAGGATTTTAATTCATTGCTGAATTATATCAGCACTTAAAACTGTTATGGTACATAGTTGGTTCAATAAATATGAATTGAATGAGTGAAAGATGAGAAAGTAGAAATGTGAGCATAAAACAAAATTTTCAAGAAAGTTTGTTACAGGGACCTGGCAGTTGTATGGTGGAGGGAAGTATGTGTATAGAGAAAGGACATTTTTTCGTTGTTTAAGTTTATAGACATTTAAATTCAGATAAGGATCCAATGAAGCTCTAGAGATTGAATACACTAGAGAGGAGATATCTCAGCCACAGGTTGTTAAAGGCTTACACCAAATATGGAGTGCCAGACCACAACCAAAATCTTGTAAAGGACCCCTCCCCACTCCAAGCCCCAGTTTACCCATCTATAAGGTGGAGGAGTAAGGGTTGGACTAGATCAATACTCAAAACTTTATGGTCTCAGGACTCCTTTACTCTCTTAAAAATTATTCAGAATTTTTGAGCTTTTTGTCTATCAGTATTGACCATATTAGAAATTAAAACAAATTTTAAAGTCATTAACAATAATAAACCCATTACATGTTAAGTATCTTTTTAAAATATTTTCTCCTAAAAGAAATTTAGTCAGAAAAGTGGAATTATGTTAGATCTCTTGCAAATTGGCTTATTAGAAAGCTGGATTCTCATATCTTCAGTGTGTTGTGTTATGTTGTTCTAGTTGAAATGTGTAGAAAGTCCAGGCTCACAAAGATATGAAATTAGAAAAGAGTATTTTAATAGCCTTTATTTATCGGTGAATATTCTTTAATACACTAAAATTTGACAAATGATCATTTCCTTAAAGGTTAGTGGCAATGTGGAATCTGAAACCATGTCAAAGAACTTTCCATACTGTTACATTAAGATTCATTGGTCTGGTACTCTGAATGAATCTTTTGCCCATGAATGATTGTCACATCATACAGTAGTTATTTGGAAATTATTGGTTCACTGAGTTATACAGATCCTGCAAATGTTTTTACATTCATTATATTCTTAAAAATCACATTCATTTATATCACTACCAATCTCAAGAGAAAGGTCTTTAAATGTTAAGAAGTTTTTAAACTCACAATGGCCATTGAGTTTTTTGAAATCTTAATTTTTGCTTGAAAGCTTGTATTTTCTCTGGCAGCAAATACTGTCAATTGTTTTTCTTGAAGTGAAAGGCATACTTAGTTCATTTTTCAAGAAAATGCTAGTATATTAAAATATTGATTTCTGTCTATTGATTTTATATCCTGAGACCTTGCTAAATTCAATTGTTTGGTAACTTTTTTGAGAACTCTTTTTAGATTTTCTGCAAACAAGGTCATGTCTTTTCTAGTCACTTTTACTTCTTTCCAATCTGTATGCCTTTTCCCCTTGCCTTTCATTGCTTTATTCCACTGATTACCATTTACTTCTGAATCCAAGTTGTAGTGCTATTGACACCCTTGCCTTGTTTCCGTTCTTAGGGGAAAAGCAGTATTTCATCATTATATATGTTAGCTGTAGTTTGTTTTGTTTTTAGTTCTATTCCTAGTGTGCTGAGATTTTTTTAAAATCATGAATGGTTGATTTTCTTCAAATGCTTTTCCTATCTATACAGTTTTTTTTTTTTTTAGTTAATATGATGCATTATACAGATTTTCAAATGATGAACCAACTTTACATTGCTATAAAACACTAATGATGTATTATTTCTTTTAACATTGATATATTACTACCATCTAATAGATTCAAGTTTACCAGTTGTCCCAATAATGTCCTTAATAACAAATGATCCAGTCTAGAATCATATGTTGCATTCAGTTGTCTTATCTCTTCAGTCTCCTTCTATCTGAAAGTTGTCTTCCCTTGACTTTCACAACCTGGACACAGTGAGGACTATTTTGTACAATGTCTAATTTTATAGACTGTCCTTCAATTTGATTTATCTAGATTGTTTATATTTTACAAAAATTAGTGATGCTTTTTTGCCTCATTGCTGCCTGTGGGTAGTAGTAACTTTTCCCATTACTGATGTCAGCTTTCATCTAAGATACTGTCTGCCAAGCTTCCCCAGTGCACTTTCTCCTTTAGTAATTAATATGTATCCCTTTCCTCACCAAACTATCGATTCACTTATTTTTTTAATGTATGGATTCATGGATTCCTATTTTATTCAATGGGTTATAATCTAATAATATCATCATATTTTGATGTTCAAATTGTCCCAGATTTGACAAGTGGTTTTATATACTTTTGATATGTCCCTATCATTCTTTGAGCACTTCTTTCTTTCTGAAACAACAAAATGTTCAGGCTTATCTTGTATTTTCCGTGCCCAACCCTGGAGTCACCCATTTCTCCAAGGAGCCCTGGTTCCTTTTATTGGAGAGGAAGCTCTTTGTGGGCTGAACTAGAGAATTTATGTATTCCCTACATATATACATATTGGCATGTATATTTATTTAGCTTATACCAATACCTTAACACTGCAGGGTTCATTCTGGTTTTTTCCTTTTCCATATTTATAACTCCATTCTCTGCTAGCTCCCATTATCTTCAATATATTCATTAGGTCAATCCCTCCTGTATGTATATAACCAATCTCTCATTGCTAGCACCACCTACCCAAGTGCCCTCTTCTCACTCTGCTTAGACCTCTGTACCCCTCCATCCATAAACCTACACCTTCCTTACACTCTTCTTTAAAAACACTTTTAAAGAAAAGCAACCTTGTTGGACACTGAGACCAAAAACTGTCGAAAGTCACTTTTGGATAAGAGAAGCTTTTGTATGAACTAGGTATTTAATAATGTTATTAAGCAATTACTGCTAATTTTAAATGTGATAATGCCATCAAAGTAAATAAAAAAATTAAAATAAAAAAATTAAAAAGTCCTTATCATTAAAGACATACTTGCTAGATGATAGGTACAGAGGCGTTGATTATTATTCTATCTATTCTTATATGTTTGAAATTTTCAAATTAAAAAAAATTCTAATTAAAAATAAAAGATAGGTGGCAGGTCTGCAGATCACCGGATTTTATTTAGATGGAATCACTGCTAATTACATAGAAGCTACCTGCCTAAGCCAAAATCCATGAGGTTCACATGAACTTACAGTTACACAGATAAGAAACAAATGGCATGTTCAAAAACATGAAGAAATATCCTGATGCCCAGGTGATGAAAGCTGTGGTGAATGAGTCTGCACATTTATTTCAAGCTGTTAAAAAGTTTGTGGGCCACCTAGATAGGAGAAAGAAGTCATTAATTGGTAGCTTTAATGTCATGGCTTACAAGGTCCTTCATGACCTGGAACAGTCCTGCTCCTTCTTGTACCAATACCCACCTCACACCCCCACACCCCTCCTGAGCCTTAGTGAACTCCTTTCAGTCGCCCAAATCTCCCTTCTGCCTGGAACTGTTTCTCACTTTTTTCCATCTTTTCCTTTAGAATGTAACATGTCATTTCCTGTGAGCCTTCTCTAAACAAGCTCAATCTTCACACAAATCTGTCCCTCTTCTGTCTTCCCCACAGAAACTTATATCTCCCATTATCACAGTGCTTATTAATTCAACAAATATTATACATCTACTATATGTCAGGTACTATTTTACGTGCCGAGTTACAACAGTAAACAAGACAATAAGACAGTATCTCTTTCTTATGGAACTCAGAGAATAAGAAAAGAAATATATACATAATTTGAGTGATAAACACTGTGAGAAAAATAAAACTTGGGGAGACATAAAGCAGCTTTAAATAGTACCAAAGAAGGCCATACTAAGAAAGTTACACCCAAGGGACTTACTAGTTTACTAACTGTTCTACTTCTGTCTCCTACACTGGCTCATAACTCAGTGAAGGGACCATGCCCATGTTCCTCTCAGATCTTAACCTAGTGCTTTGCTTGTAAAAATATTTAATAAAACATCATTTTAACTATTCTTAACTATGTATTTTTGTGGCATTAAGTACATTCACACTGTCCTGCAATCATTAATCTCCAGAGTTTTTTGCCTTCCTAACCTGTAACTCTGTACTCATTAAATAATTATTTCCCATTTCTCCCTCCCATCAGCCCTTGGCAATCACCATTCTGTATCTATGAATTTGACTACTTAAGGTACTTCATATAGGTGGAATGATATTTATCCTTTTGTGATTGGTTTATTTCATTTAATATATCTTAAAGCTTCACCCATGTTGTAGCATGTGTCAGTTTCCTTCCTTTTTAAGGCTGAAATAGCTCATTATATGCATATACCACATTTTGTTTATTCATCTATCCATTAATGGACACTTGGGTTGCATTTACCTTTTGGTTATTGTGAATGCTGCTATGAACATACATGCACAAATATCTTTTCAAGTCCTTGAACAGAGTCTCAATTATTTGGGGTATATACCCAGAAGTGGGATTGCTGGATCCTTTGAGTAAAGTACTTGATTTCTTTTCATTGCCAAACAATATTCTGTGATATGGATATATCATATTTTACTTAACTATTTATCAGCTGATAGACACTAATGTTGTTTCCACTTTTTGGCTATGAATAATGCTTCTATGAATACTTGTGTACATGTTTTTGTGTAAACATATGTTTTCATTTCTCTAAAGTATACCTAGGGGTAGAATTGCTGGATCATAGAGTAACTATGTTTAACCTTTAGAAGAACTTCCAGAATATATTCCACAGGACTGTACCAATTTACATTCCCATCAGCAGTGTATGAGGTTTCCAATTTCTCCACATAGGCCAACACTTGTTACTTATCTTTTTGATGGGAGCCAATCTAGGGGGTAGAAGCGGTATCCCATTGTGGTTTTGATATGCATTTTCCTGATAGCTAATGGTGCTGAACATCTTTTCATATGCTTCTTAGCCATCCAATCAGTTTTAACATAAGCAGCCATATCAAACATTACCTAACCTTACTGTTATATGTAAGAGAGTCAAATACAAGTTTACTTTAAAAAAAAAGAAAACTGTTTGGATCAACTACTATTTAAGAGACATACTGAAGGACATAAAGTATTTTAAAGATTGGCCTGTTACTTAAAGGTACAAAATCCAGCTTCTCCACTGTTTAGCAATACAAGTTAGGACATCATTTCTCTTCTCTGAGCTCAGTTTCTTATCTGCAAAATGGGGATGATGATACCTGCCCCCAGTGAAAATGGTAGGATTAGGTAAGATTGCTTATATAAAATGCTCAGCACTGTATCTGACATATATTAGGCCACAGTAAATGATTACTGATGAATCAGCCCCTAGGATGGAAAGGTTGTCAGCACCAAGTATTTCCTGGCCACTGTAAGGTTTTCCCCTTCCTGACTTTAGGCTAACTTACACAGTGGTCCCTTGCATGCAAGAAGTCAAAGAGCTCCTCCGTGCAATCCTCCTCTGTGTGTGACCTGGAGGATACGCGCTCATCACAGAGCTCTAGCCGCTCCCGAGCCTTTGCACATTTCTCCGACTGCTCGCATTGCTCTCTCACTGTTGTTAAGGGATCCTGAAGGCGAAGCATAGAAAAAACAAAAATGGGGGTTTTAGGAGGTGCTCCATGAACCATACACTTTGATTAACACAACCACCAAACCAAGGTGCTGCCTCTGAATTACCGTGCAGAAGGCCAGCTGGCAGAGCCACACTGCCGCCAGAAATGGCAGAATGGGGTCTCCCATTCAATTCTGATGCTAAGTAGTAGGGAAAAGTTTCACATTCCTGCCTTCCAAGGTTGCCAGTATGCACTGAAAGCCTCAGTCCTATCTGAAAAACAAGGTGGTAAAGGAAACCTGGCCAAACTTGAAGTAGATCTATAGGAGGCCTTACTTGTTAACACAGCATTTTGGGATATGTAACATCTGTGAATTTCAATTCCCCTCATCTGACAGCCAGGCCTAGGCACCCCAGCTGCCTAGCTAGAAAGGCAATGTTAACATAAGAAGGACCATCTAAGAAAAGTTCCTTCCAGAATTTTTTATTAAACCACAAACAGCAGGTAATTGAGTGTCAGGTTCTCAAGATGCTGCTCGGTTCCCTGACACAACTGGAGAAGTCCCAAACCCAAAAAAAACTCAGCTCCCAGGCCCATATCCCCAAACAGTCCACTGCACAAGAAGGAAGCACTAAAGGCTTTTTCCACTCCCATTCTCTCCAAGGTGTCAAGTATAACACTCCTTAAAATGGCTTCAGAGTTTCCTGAAGCTCAAACTTCCTTTTACTGATATGGTTCCAAACCTGAGACAGCTCTTACCACTAATTCCTCCTCCTCCTCTTCCTCCTACAAAAGGAAAACAAAATTAATGTCAGCATCAATTTTATGACAAATATTCTCAATGATATTGATCTTGTAATTACTGAGGATAGACATTATATTAATCATGTTTTTAAAAATTCTGTATTTTATGATACTTTGACATTTTAGGGGCTTTGCTAATCCTGGAGAAAAAGCTCCTCCCAGGGCTGGCTAATTTGTAGAGATAGCAAACAGTGTGCTGTGGGCACGCCTCTCATATGCAACCCAACCAATCCAAAACCCTTAGCACCAACAATTTCCTTTATCTAACTCCTACACTAAACCAGTTTTTGCCCCCGCCCTAGTCACCCCAGGGCCAAATACCAAACAACTAGGGACCACCCCAGTAGCCCACAGTCCACAAAAATGATTTAAACTACCTAATCCTAAACTTGCTAAATATGCCTATCCTGACTCACGCATTCCACTTGGAAATCAAGAGTCTGGTATCCCTTGCTCCTTCAGCTCCAGACTGGCCCATGAACTTCCCCATTTGGCCCTGGGTGGTATGGCCTGTCCGCTTCTTTTGGGAACTATAAGTGATAAACTCCTCTTTCAAAAACACTTGTCTCCATGTCTGGAACCTTACTATACCTAATTAAAACAAGTCCTGGGTACATTTCAACAAGGACACACTATCTTACTTTCATTAGTAACAACCTAAAGAGTACACAACACTATAACGTTTATAAAGCACTTTCATATCTGTAATGATCAGATTAATCACAAGAGCTCCTAAGGGACTCCCAGTTGAGATAACAAACACTAATCAGACATTTTCTGATACAGATTCAAGCTGTCGGGTGATCATATGGAACCTACATAACTTAAAAGTATTTTATTCTAAATTCTGGTGGGTCCGATTATTACCAGAAATAGCTAAATTTAGTCCTTATATCTCAAACCAAGTTAGGAGGAAAACTAACATTTTTTTCTAGATTCTGAACTTGAATTGGGAATATGAAAATGGCCACGCCTAAACTCTTCTTTAGCCAGAGCTTAACTAAAGATGGTCACAGCCACGGCTTTTTGGCTTGCTGAACTCCTAGAATTCTAAGATGACTATCAATATAAGTGCACCAAAGGTCTACACAACTCCATTCATAAGCTCAGAAACACCAGGCCCTAGCTATTTATTTCTGATTCAAGTGCCCAATCTCAAACTTAGTTTCCTTTCTTCCAAGGAAAACAGTGCAAAAAAATTCCCTGTGAGAACATCAGCATAGGCCTAAACCTAGGGCACAAGAGAGTCTATCTGATCAGTATTTTGACCTGTCAAAAGTAAGGTGTTTGCCTGCCTGTGCATACAGGTGCACATTTGGGGGATGGGAAGTAAAAGGTATAAAGATAAATAGAACTAGCTCAGCAATCCCGCATTACGTTTTCAAAATTCTAACACAATCTACCTCATTCTCTATCATACCCTTCAGAGAAGGGAGCAAAGCTCATGAAAGTAGGGAGGGACAGGGCAGGTTCAACTGTAACCTAGGCTATTTAGTCCCGCAAAGGTCTCTTCTAAACATGACAATGTTATTTAGGATGTAAAATTTTAAGTTTTCATAAATTAACCTTGCTCTTTAAAAATCATACTAAAAAAATTTTCCCAAAAAACAAATCACATTCCGCCTGAGTTAGAAATTAGAAATTAGTATTGATCTACATTGATCATTTTGTGTCTTTGATAATTTTGTATCAAAGTTTCATGGTTTGTTTTAGAAAAAAAAATCCAAATATAAGTATGAATATGGGCTACTTCATGTAAAATTTCCAGTCAATGAAAAAAGCCAAGATCACACTAAATAAAACGATTTAACCTCCAAGAGGTATAGGTTCTTCATAAAAGACCCTGGTTTCCTTAATTTTAAAATTGGGGCTACTTCATGTAAAATTTCCAGTCAATGAAAAAAGCCAAGATCACACTAAATAAAACGATTTAACCTCCAAGAGGTATAGGTTCTTCATAAAAGACCCTGGTTTTCTTAATTTTAAAATTGACTACTTATTTACTTTATTTTTCTCTTACTGCTGTGCTAAGCCCCACTGAACTTTCTGGTATACTTCCTGCGGAATTTCCTGAGGCTGACTCCATGTCTCTCTGGTCCT